ACTGGGGTGCAGCGCTGTCCGACAGATACATACGAATCCAAACATGCATCTTAACCCTCCTTAACTTTCAATGTGAGGGTTATTTTTTATTATATATTATTATTCAGACTCGAAATAAAATCCGATACTAAGAATATGCAAAGGTCTTCAGCAGGAACAATACATCTCGTCCGAGTGCCTATAGATCATATTGCAAAAGGAGAGAAAGGCTAGAATAAAGCTGGACAAGGAAAGATTTGGAATAGGGTATAATTTAGAACCCTATTAATCGGATGCCTTCTGACCCAACAAAACTGTAATAAGGGGGTTCGCTGAATAGGGGTAATAAGATATATTTTTCTAATTTCGCAGAGGAGGTGTTCCATTGTATTTTAAAAAAATATATACTTGGAATGGGACTTTATTTTTGATAATTTTTGCAGTTAAAATTAATGACCACTGCGGTGAAAATGAATTTATATTTTAAGCTTTCTTGCTGTACTCAGCTCCACTACTAGTTAACACAGTATCCTTTGAACAACAATTTTATGACCAGATATTGATATTGATCTGAAGTTATCTTTAGATTGCTTCTGGAAAATAACTTGTATTCAAAATCAATAACTACAGTAAAATGTTACATGAGATATGTGGTCAAATGGTTATCGGCTACTTTACAGATACAATGTCAATGGTTCACAAATTCTCTAATATATTTAAATGTCATTGAAATGTTAAAACATAATATTTACAGTTTCAATTACCATATGACCTTTTAGAATTGAAATAAAAACCTAATTAGGCCGGTTGTTTATAATATATTCTCTATGTACTTAATTTATTACCCGCAGAATTTTGTTTGTGGTAAATTTGACAGGGATCTGGAATGAAATTTTTTAAGCTAATCGCATTTCTGATGATAGATTTCCTGCCATAAAATTCTTGTATTAAAGTATTACCTAATGAAAATTCATAGTAGTATATCCGTGGGCACTAATAATTGTTTAATGAATAGACTTAAATAGTATACATAAATGTATTTCCGAGTTACACAATATATTATGGATTTGAGGATTTATGTGGGTATTACTCCGTACAGTATTTCCATAACGTTTTCAGTCATTAGAGTTTCTATAGGATTTTGTTTGACATGGCAGTTAATGGTGTATCACATGGTTATACGCACATATCCACATATCTCCCTGGGATTTAATATCGTAGGTGTCATAGATGCGATTACTGCTATTCAATGTTAAAAATTGATGTAACACCACCCTCCTTTGGGGTCTAGGCCAGGAAATCTGACTTCCGATGCGGATCTGGCTAAATGTCGCAAATGTATAACCAGATTTTAGGTACCCTGACTATTGCAACCTTAATACCAAGCGACATCTTTCAAATACCTGATAATTGCCATTTTACCCTCCATAATTCAACAGGACAGACACGTAATTCTTCGTCCTAAACATCTTAATTCATCCATTTTTATCTGGCATCAGCTAATCTTCATTTCAATCTTCTCAAATAGTATATCTGACTTGTGTGTCTATTCCTAGTACATTCTCTCAAATGTCATACAGTCGAATGCTTATTTAAGGCCTAATTACCCCAGCTGTAACAGTAGATTGGTATTCTGTTTTCGGAGTTTGATTCTAGCCTACGAGAAAAGGTCAGCCTGCTAGAAAACAGCTCTAGCTCTAGGCAGTCTGACAACAGAAATAAGTACACACTAATAGCTCAATTTTGGACTGGTTTTTGACAAATGCAGCTCTGACCCCTGTTGGATTATGTTGATAATTACAGACATTTTAAAGAGTAGTACTTTGTGAAACCCTTGATATGGGTCACAATCTGTCCAACACATGCACTGATGACATGCTGTGTTGTTTCTAATGGCTTGCAGTTAACATCAGAATGTTGAACACTAGAATGATTTGATAAAGAGCGATTCCAGGTTTAGTGTGGTAACTTCTGCAGCTGTTAATTCAGTATACCACAAGAGTTCTATGTTGTGGTTATGTTAAAAACTGATAATAATAGTTTGTGAGGAGAGGATACGTAAACACAAGACGGTTATGTGTGGGTTTTACCTCACACCACCCAAATAGACATACCATAACATAAGTATACCACCAAGGGGTATTTTCTGTGTTTTATAATAGAGGAAAACCTTCCAGACATAAATTAACCATGGCAAGTTTCATTCCAACTTTTTAAATTAAGTTTAACTGAAAAGTAGATAGATTAGTGTTTAAGTAGTGTTTGCAATAATCAGGACCCGTCCTAGTTGCTGTTGGAAAATAATATTTAATTGTTTTTTCGAAAATAGTTTGCAGCTGTTCGCTGGTACTAGGATGATAATGTAACAAAGCTGTTAATGTTGAGAGTCAAAAACACGAGAAATGCATACTGTGTGTGAGAATGATTTACTGGACGTTCATCCGCCCTGTGTGCCAGTATATAGTAGATATTATTTACACGCTTACGCATGCCATATTGTAGTCATTATTACCATTAGTAACCATGGATTTGCATGCCTTATGATCGCAATACTGCTTCAATTTTGCCACGAGAGCAGTCGTTTGATTATTAGCTGGCGTTGGTACAGGCATGTGTAGTGATGTGTTGGTTCAAAGATGGTGTTATTGGTTGTATATTTGAGTGTTTTAAATTTATACTCAATTTTTATGAAGCCAAAATATTTATTCTTCATGGACAGATGACACAGTTAAGATTTTAGTATCATCACCTTTGGTTTGCTTCTGAATTTCTTACATTTCTAAGTTAAATGTCTACCATGTATTAGGTATCCTTTATGATTTGTGCTTATATATCCATGTATAAATTTTCCCACTTAATTCAAGACTGGTAATTATTTCTTGAGGTTGAAGTATGATTCTATTCTGTTATGCGCATTTCTTTTGCAGATATAACATACTCTGACCCCACATTGCACACCTCAAAACAACACCAAACAAAAGTAAACTTACAAGAGAAAGCAGTTACACCGAAAAAAACAATATGTGGGTGGGGCTGATCAGAATCCAAATATATTCCAAAAGAAGAAATTACAGACATTTGTTAATCTTAGTAACTAATTAATGTTTTAGATCTGCATGACTAACAGATGAAATCATTAAAAACAATAAATTATTCTTATAAATATATAACTTAATGATTTTTGCATATAATTATTGCTGTAAACATCATCATCTTCTTCTGTTTGTAATCATCATCATCATCATCGTAATCATCATTGTGATCTTTTTTTTCAGCCATGTTCCATGAATCCAAATAATTGATCTTCCATCTTATGTTAGTTGACCTAAAATAATGAGGTAAAGAAAATTGGAGAATAACATGTTGGATTAATAAATGCATACCGGTAGATTAGACTCGTATCTACGGAGCGTTCACGGTTAAATTATAACTCTTTATGGCTCTATAATCGGAAGTTCTAGTTTTTACAAGAAGCATTAAAGCTAACATTTCCAGATCTATTATAATAGTTATAGCTCCATCAGTCATTCGATGTATTATACTTTAATAGGGATAAAAAAACATTCTTTAGAGTGGAGTAATAGAGTGGTAAGCATTAACATCCTATAGCTACCATTAAATGTAGGGCAGTTGTATATATCTTTCATCTGTATTTTCTGCATTTGATAGTGGTGCTCGGTTTTTTGAGCATCTAACAAAATAATAATAAATAAGTAATACAACATATCATGGTTCTGTTTTCTTCAGTGGTGTTACACATGTCTTTACATTTGATCCAAGGCTTGCTTTTTGCATTTAAATGATTTTGTTCATATTGTAGTTGACTTTTTTCCTTTGCAAAGCTCAATTTGAAAACAGCCAGGCCTGCATATCATTTGTCACGCACGTAATTACGTGTCCTACACACACCGGTTGCCTTGCACGCAGCGTTTGGTGATTCACATCCCATTAATCACATGTTGGTTTTTTCCCTATAATCCATGCTCGACTCCTTTCTGGAATCGTTACCTATAGTAACCGGTTTTCATACGTGCTCGTCGTTTGGTAATAACTCATTAGTGATGGTAAATCAGGTTGACAGCGATGTTTGCATGCTCGTGTGTCGACTTATGATGGATGGCAAGCTATGTGTACTCAGTATGTACACGGTTGCCCTTATTCAAATGATATGATGGGGACTCGCATGCAAATACGTGTACACACATCAGCAGAGTAGGCCAACCTTGACATGTATATGTTTATTCTGGGTGGTTAAGATATTTATTTATAAAACTTGCTCAGGGTGGTTTATGGTAAAATAGAGACATATTATTATAAACATGAATTTTGTAGACATACACAATATTGACGTTTTCAGTTACACGAATATCTATAATCTTCTATATCTTTCTAGATTTTTTTTCTGTTTGCAAAACAACCATAAGAATGCATTGCAGATAGAATGAATCTGATTTTTACCATGCTTGCAATGCATCATGAACAAATAATGTGGACTATAGTTTTAAAATACTTTATTACATTTTGAGTAGAACTGAATTTTGTAGTGATTACTAAATAATGGTATATATGGTGTAACAAGTAGACCAGATCTAATGTGTTCTGTTTTCGCTGACGATTACATCATTATTTTCTGCTTTTAAAATGTTTTTGTAGATAAGAACTGAACCACTTTAGAAATCAGTACTATGTATTGAAAGTGTATATTCAGTATAAAGAAAGAATAAATAAATAAAATAAAAAATGTTATTAAATTGTAATTTATGTAAATTGTATACTGAATGAAATATTTAAAATCATTTTAGAATCTTTATCTTTGCTAATCGCTTTTGAACAGTATTAATGTATATATACCGGTGCTATATAAATGCATTTGATGGATCCCTACTTTGCCTTCCCAAAATCATCCCAAAAATTCTGAAGTCTAAACCCCTACACTCTTGCCACAAGGTTTTTATGCTCAACTCAATATTGATGCATACTCACCCTACTAGAACACCTTCAGTCTTTAGTCATTTCTTGCCTTATTTATTGGCCTATTCTCAGTCTCGTTTATAACATGAACTTTGATCCTTCTTATTATTTCTGCATTTAGTAAGAAAGCTCCTTAATTATTTACATCATTGACTTTGCATTCATTATATGCATCCATGTAATTGTTGTGGAAACATAATTACCGGTAAGTAAAATTGATCATGCTAAGTGAATGTTAAGCCCTTAATGCCTCACAAAACACAATTCACCTTCCTTATTAGGCCTTTAAAAATTAAACAAGTGTTAGAAACATGCAGAATGCATGTCGTCGAGAAATTATTCTTGAATGAGTCTGTCTCATATTTTGATCTTCTAATTTTGTTAATTTAACTGAAGAGCTTTTTTTAATTGACAATGAGGTTCAAGAACCTAGTTCATACATGTTGAAACAAGGCATCGTAATTGAGTCAACGAAAGGGTTCCGAAGTTTAAGCCGCGCTTATTGGGATTGAGTGCGAAAATGTTATTACTGGCAACTGAGAAATACATGGTGTCCCTCTGGGGAATTTCCGACATCACCTGCTTCCTGGCAGCATTACCTACTAAGTTCATCAGTCAATTCTGTACTCTTGCTACATCATGTGAACCCATTTTGACACTTTACGAGCACCTGTGAGGGAAACAGACCTCTCGTTTAGACCTGATGACGTGGAAGAGTAAACAGGATATGGCTGTTGCTAAATTGTAAATGCTACCGTCATTAATAACTATATCAGTTAATGGCGATAAGCAATGTAGAAATTGAATAGTATGTAAATCGCCAATTACTCCAATAAGCTTCCGTCTACTTTTTAAAGGTGTGTGGAATTTATCTTTATCTAGAATTAATCCTGTGAATTCTTTACCTGCTGTCAGCACTTAGTTAAGTGCTCAACTTCCTGTCTCAGATGTTTGGGTTCAATTCTTACAAATGGAAGTTCTAAAAATCCATTCCCATGAGGCTTTGTGGTTCCTGTTTTCTGTTATCAAATTCCAATCTTTATTATTGAAATTAAAATACAGTCTCCAATAAGAGACCACTTTTGGGGCTGGGGTTTCCATGGTTCTAACAGCTTTATGACATTTGTCAATTTTGTCCCACAGATAAGTAGTCTTTAATTGTGGCAAAGGCAAGCCAAACCAGTCAGTCCTCGCAAAAATCAATTTTCATTTAATAATAATTATCGGGGTTAATCATTAAAATGCAGCTGCTTAAAGAACAATATTTGAGAAATTAGCCTTCAAAGTTTACCATTTTGGGCATTTCTCATTCAGAAACCATCGCCAGATAGTTAAAAATTGTTGTTTTAACATTGAAAATGGGGAAAATAACCACATAGTATGATGTATAAATATATAAATGTTAGTTTAATGCAATAAAATAAATTTCAAAAATCTTGACATTTCAGCATGTTTTGGCCATTATCTCTGAAACATGATTTGCAAAGAGTGACTGGTTTAGCTTGTCTAGTTTTTGCCACAATTGGAGGGGTCTTATATTAGAGCAATACCTAATAATAGTAATACAAATATAAATGATAATAAAAAAGAAAAACAGAATTCTTTTTTCCTAGGAGGAAATTTCTGTTTTAGGTCTACGTTGAAATATCCTGTAAAAAGGCGAACATGTAATATAATCTTTTATTAACTCTTAGTATTATATCATATAATCAATAACTATTAAATAATTTCATCTGGTTTTTAATAATGATCAATAATTTCTGTTTCATGTATGCGTTAATGTCAGTATTGTGTCTACTGGTATGGATCTAGTATTTATCTACCCATTTTACACTACCTATTTATCAGAACTGATGAACCTTTGTAGAGTCTTAAGGGATTTCCTGGGCTTAGGATCTCATTTAGTGATTGGATTTTAGGACATATTTAGTAATCTTCCTCTGATAAAGTTTCTATGGTAACCAAATTGTAATTAAAATGTTGATTAAAGAGTTAATTCAATTTGAATTCATTTAAAATGAATTTTGTATGCATATTTATTCATGCTATTGTATATTGTATAATCTTATTTTCAAATTTATGTTTTCTTCTGTCACTGAGAATGTATTAAAATCAGTTCAATTTGAAATGTAATTCCTCACTAATGGAATCTTTTTTCTGTATGGGAACTCCAGAAAATTTCTAATTCCCAAACTAAACTGCACATTTTAAATAATCTTTTCTATTCTAAACCTGAGAATGCAGATAGTGCATTGAAAAGATTGTCAGTCATTACTAATTTAGATGTTTCTTATTCCTCAGCTACTATTAAAATTAGGATTGTTTGAACAGCATGGCAACTTTGTTTTATTGATCAAATTATTACAATAATGTATCCAAGATGCTAATAAAATTCAATTAAATTTTCTATAGAAAAATCTAAAATGATTAATCACTAACATCATCAATGACTGAATTTTACTTGATATCTGATATAACTCAGAAATTTATCCTTGATTATGGTCGTAGTTCAACTCTTCAAAAGAAAATGAGGATGAAAACAGTTTGTTTGATTAGTAAAAAATGTTTGAAGGCATGAGATGGGATCATTGAGACCTTGATGGAAGTAAATTTATTATCGCCATTACCTGATTCGATTGATTGACAATATTTAAAACTGCTGACTAATTTTCATCCAGGTGATATGAGGTGTTTACTTGCGACATCTTATTAAGCGATGTTTCCCACAAATTGATTCCTAGGCTGGGGAATTAAAATAAGAGAATAGGATTGCTGTAGTCATCTTGCAAATTTTAAATTGTATTACTGTGCTACAAGTAACATTGTCAAACATAACCAACTACTAACTCCAAATGTATTACATTCTGCTAGTATATTTAATGAAATGATACCCTGGTTTCCAGTATCTGTAAAGAGAAGAAAATGTATTTTGTGTTTAATATTCCCTCACCCTATTTTTTACTCAATTTGTGCATCTCTGGGAAATTGTGGACTCGCTTGAAATCTCATTACGCGAGGCCGATCCTGACGTCCATTGGATTGAGCTGACAGGCAAAAATGTTCATGCCAATAACGCGTGCTGAAGCATTCGGCGGGCTTAATTACAGAATGTCAGTATTTATAAACATCTTCATTAGATCCAGAATTGATGTGGGAAGTATTTGTGCATCGGATTTCGTACATCATTAGTAGTAAGTGTGCAGAGTCATGAGAGAGGTCTTGTGTCCAGTCGCAAAGGTATAATGATGAATCTGGCATAGGTTAAGAATGTTCACATGAACCAATGAAATACAAACCTGATCAGCAAGAACTATAATAAATATAAAATGACCATCCATATGTTAGGAAATGAACAGTAATCTAGTTAAATGCTATCTAGAGTAATCCATCTTCAGAAAAAACTATAGAAACATTGCCCAGATCTAATTAGATTCTTGAGTATGTTTGTTCAGATAAATGACTTCAGAAATCCATAGACTTGGTTGAAGTTTGCTCAGATAAAATATTCAAACAAATTGATTGATCAAACAGATAACTAAGTTTCAAAATGGGTTAACTCAAATGAAATAATCAGCCTATGAATGATTTGGTAGTTCAGAGAAAGTGAGCAGATTTATTGTAAAACATAAGAATACTGCTCATAATTTGGTTTGACACTAATTGCTCAGATGATATCAAACTATTTACCTGATTGCTTAAGAATTTGTGAATTTTGAGTACAATTGCTTAGATACTGTTCCCACAACTCCATAAAAAATCACTTTTGAATCGTAGCCAGAATTACCTGGATTACATAATAAATGGAATCCAACACTATTGATTTTTTTCAAAACTAACCCTGTTGCCTTCAGGAACTACACAGTTGTATTTGAGTGAAGTTTAAAAGAACATTATAAGTTAATAAATGGTCCTTTATTTACCAGTTGTTGATTCAGCCTCCCCGAACCAGCCTTTAGGAACGGAAACTATAACCAAACTATTGTAATTCTCAAGAAAGTAAGAAATCACAGAAGCTATAAACTACACAGTTGTATTTGAGTGAAGTTTAAAAGAACATTATAAGTTAATAAATAGTCCTTTATTTACCAGTTGTTGATTCAGCCTCCCCGAACCAGCCTTTAGGAACGGAAACTATAACCAAACTATTGTAATTCTCAAGAAAGTAAGAAATCACAGAAGTTATATAGTGAATAGGAATCTGAGTCAGGCGTTTAGATAAGCTTGTAATGGAAGATAAACCAAATTTAGAGAGTGTCCTTTTCCGGCTTTTGTTAAGAAGACACTTTTCATTCTTTGCTGATTTAGGCTACCAAACTGAAGGTTATTTAAATGGTTATTTACTTTAAAGCTTTCATCACAATGTGACCGCACTGTGAATCAATAGATCTAAATCAGTTGATATTCTTTCGTTTGCCTAACAATATTTCAAATAATACCGCAGTTTGTTGAACGCCGCTTATATCTAGAAATCTGATAGCCTTGCGGCACTAGAAACCGTTAGGTAATGCTTTTATAGATTTCACCCAGGCCTATTGTAATATACTATTACTCAGGCACTAAAATGGTGATAATGACCCAGGAAGAAGTGTTTCAGAATTGTATGAGAATTTTTCCCAAGGCTTTTTCATGCCCAGTATAGTGTAAGGGACATTATTTTAAAGTGTTATTCTTTATCAAGCTTGACTAATTCGCCAGTGTCGGCTGAGCATGGTGAACTGCCTTCACCGATTGGTGGCCTTTGTTTAAGGTGCTGGTTATGTCGGGGCCACCGACCTCTAGCAATAGTATTTGCTTTTGTGGGTTTATTTTCGATGCCTGTTGAATCTGTTCTTGGTGACTCACTACTCTGGACTTTCCCTTAAAATAAATAGTTGTATCTGATTTCTATCCTTTGATTCTGTGAGGTTTTACCGCCTGTCTAGTCATAAGTTGTATTGTGTCTTGTCCTTTCATTCACCTTAAGTAAACAAGCCTGGCTTTTACCTGCTAAATAAAAGGATTAAAGATTAACAACATCAATGAAGTTGTTAAAGGAAATTCTTCTAAATTAAAATTTATATGATTGTGAAACTTGAATTTGATAGAATGTGTGTTTTATTGAAAACTCTTTTGGTGTTTGGTGTAATATAATGCCAAATGTTAACAATAAAAGCAGAAGAAATCCCTCTGTTAGGACATCCCGATTAAAGGGAATACCTCTTTGATTAAGGAGACACTTTTTTGACCCTGAATTAAGATTCTTTGAACACTATTATGCCCAATCCCGATCTTTTAACACTATGCCCAATCCCTATTCAGGGGACAATTCCATATTCAGTGGACATACATATTCAGATGACATCCATATTCAGGGGACATTCCTATTAAGGGGACACTTGTTTTGGTCCTGAAGGTGCCCCCTTAGTTGGGGTTCTCCTGTATAATATCATTTTAAATTTCATCTGGCAGTTGTTAACAGAATCTGTGTAAATCAATTGGCTATCTTTGACAGATCATACAAAACCCTGATCTGTAGTGTTTATAGTATAACTGTCCGTTAATGCATGCAAACAGATGCAGTAGCGATAACCGATGTAAACAGAGATACCAGATGCTAATGTCAACATAATTGTTTTCTCATAATTGGGTAAATTAGAAGACCTTCTTTGTACACATATATTTTATTTTAATTTGTATTTTGTTGGCTGTATTGATTTATTTTATGGAATTGGTAATATATCTGTAATTTTACGTGATTTCCCGTGAATACACCATCGTGTAAACATGTGCCCCTGATACAGAAAATAGGGTTCAATAAATAATGGATTGATTAAAACAGTGAGAACAGATGGATTAGGTTGTTCTTCTGCTCATATATTTGGACAGATCTGGAGAGTGTATCCAGCCAAAACACTGTTGAGAGCTGGACATCATCAACATATGAAACCTGAAAGAGGTTGAAATAAGCACATATGGGATTCCAAATTCTAGAGTAGCATGTACACATACATGATTGCCTAAATACAAGTTTGGTACATATTCATTTTGCCTTCATACTGACTGATGGTGGTAGTGATCTTCAGCATTTTGGTACATTTTAGGATATGAACATAAATTTTAACGTAATCGTAGAAGCAATATGTTACACTTAGTCTGCCTTTATTTAGTATTGCTTATCTATGATATTGTATTTATTTTTTCACATCTGTATATATTTAATGCAAATAGTAAAGCAAGTGTTTTCAGTGGCTTTCAATTTGGTATGCAAAATCCAGCTGTACCATTTTTATGTCGGTGTTTTATAACATTGAAGCTTGTCTTTCATATGTCAGTAAATATTCTGAATGTGTAGTTCTTCTCTGAAATATTCAGTGTGACTGATCAATACCAGGAATTAGTAGGTGAAGGGTCACTAGTAATATTAATATGTGTGAGGATTCTTGGGTATTTATATTACACAAGAGGCCTTTTCACATTCTTCTAATGATCGCATTATTATGTGAGCTACTTTGAGTATTAAATGAGTAAATCTCTGAAAGCTCCTGTCACTTTTTGCCCCTGATGAATGAATATAAATATGTAATTGATATAATTATGAAATTTAATGGCCAACTATGGGAAAATCAGTCGATGCAAATGAGATCAATCAACATGTGATGGATTTAACAACAAAACGTATAATTTATTGTCAATTTGATGCCATATATTGCAAGATGATAGAAAGAAATATTAGGTATTACCATGGCAACAGATTGTCATGGTGAATTAAGACAAGGTGATTAAGCTTCTCAAGGGAATGAATGGAAAAATGTGATGGTTGAAACAATGCAGTAATCGATGATGATGTATGGGAAGAAAATAATGCAAATTTGAAATGATGATATATATAAGTAATATTGAAATTTACATACGGGAGATAAAAATTTGAAATAATGCTATATATAAATAATATTCAAATTTACATTCGGGAGATTCAAATTTATTTATTTCATGTAATATTCTATACTTACTACTAGTATTTCCACACAAAATTAAATATTTATGTTATTTGACCTTTTTCAGGTCAACGGACAAGATTTAACAAAGTCGTCACATGAAGAGGCCGTGGAGGCTTTTAAGAACGCTTCTGAGCCAATCGTTGTCCAGGTACTTAGACGCACATCAAGGGCAAAGGGTAAGGATGACAAGGAACCACTTCACTGCAATGCGGGCACGCAGACGGATTTACAGAGCGAGGATTTACTCTGGAGAGTCCTTCAACGATGTCCCACGCCTCCTCCAGCCCCTTCGGATGTGTCCTTAGAAGGGTAAGATATTGCGTTATCATTATTTTTCCAATTATTTAATATTTGAGGGGTAATAAATAAATATTCGTATTACGGTTTTTATATAGAAATACACAAGATAAATTAGTATTAACAATTTAAAAATACTTTTCATAACAATTATTCTCTTTTAGGAAACATGGAAAATGTTTCTGTTCAAGAAATTCTTAATGAATAATATATAAATGGGTGTGTGTAAGCCAAGAATTTTGTCCTAATGCTATTTTGGGTTGGGGCTTTTGCTTAGGAAAACTACAACCAATCATATGCCACCAAAATATGCCCTTCCCCTTATTTAAGGAATTCTGCGACATTCTATAACTATAAAAAAGCTCTTAAAAACCAATTTAACCCTCTAGCTAAGTCACACACTCATATTTTTCCTTTTCTTTTTTTTTTTATCGTTTTTTTTTTTCTATTTATTTTTTGTTGCATCTTGTATCATACCCCTTATGTATCATATGTTTCATAGCTTTGTATATTGATATTAAAATATGAATAAATATTACTATTATTTTAACTGAAATTAATTATTGATGATTAACAATCTCACTTTTTTTTATTCTTTCACCCAGATTATGTGACCTCCCCTCTCCTGAACCTTTGACCTCTTTTGATGGAGAGCTGATGAACGATCTGTATGCTATGGACAACCTTGATATGCCCATTATTGATGATAGTATAGAAAAGACATTTGAGATGGAATATGAGGTAAAGGCCTGTCACTGCCCTTCCTTGGACATTTACCCTCCAGCTAAATGCTCTCTCTGAAGCATGTTGGTTTCAGCTGGGGGTCTGTGGTTTCAGTTTATTGATGGCTGGACAGAACACAGATTCAAGAAATGCTTAGTGAAGATTTTGAATTAATTTATATATATATATACATATACATACATACATACACACATACATATTGAACCAAAATATTATGTAAAATTTAAAATATAAGAATTAAATTGTTTACTGGCATATTTCAGTAAGTTATTTATTACCTTTCATCTAAAAAATGAGAAAGTGAAAACAAATTTATTGTCAATTAACAGATGTTTAAATAATACTGTACCTTTCCTTATGTACCCTTACATTTTTGCCAGCAAATTTTAGGAATTTTGTAGTAAAATTTCTGTAAATTATTAAAAACTGATTTCTGTTTTCAATCTGACTTATTAAAATTTGATACACTGTAACATGGTTCCTTTAAATTCTTATTTCAAGGATTTATTTTTTTAAAGAATTTTTCCTAATTTTTTTTTGGTGTTATATAGTATATATTAATGTGTTTAATCAAATGTATTTAATGGTAAAATCTAATTTATGTAATAAATTTTGTACCATATTTTGGATGTACTGAGAACATTGATATAAATTAATTTTGTTTTAATATACTGTAAATAAAATTAATGTGTAAAACCACATTATTCAAAATTCACACTCACTGTTAACTCACTAAGTATTTTCTGTTATCATGCTGATTTCTGTAATAAAATTAGTGGATATGTCATATATAACTTGGAATTGGATATGAAATGGTAAGCTATAACAGAAGGCTAGAATTGTTTAATATGCAAGTCCTGTGTTGATTCATTCTGTAATGTTGATTTAGTATTGAATTTAGTTTAATCCTCCTGCACGTCTTGTAGTACAGGTTGTCATTAAAGACCTAAATATTGATTTGTATATATACAGCTAGCGTTCTTTTAACAGTCGAAAATAGTCTAGGGTTGTAAGCTTACAGTAGTTGATGTTATTCTAAACTGGGGCAGTGCTACTGAAAAGGTTCATCTTGTTCCAAGCCATGCCAGTTTAACTCGGGCAACTTTATGTGTTATGGAAGCCCATCATACTCGGATCCCGCATTAGCAACTGTTTCACTAAAAAGCGCATAATTGCTTCAAAGAGAGTTGATTATTTAGAAAAACATTGACTTAACACGGATGTTAATGTGATTTAAGTGTAACTCAACACGACTTTTACGTTGTTGTAAGGAATAGAGAATTAGAACGGGATGCCAATTATGAGCGAATTACGTCCCTAGATTGTCACAATCGAAATGCGTCAGCAAAGGCCTTATTAACACTCATATATTTCAACATAATGGTCGGTAGTTTCAATCAGCAAATTCAATTTTGGTGATGGAGTATCGAAAACAAGTTTATGGTGACTATTCTTAATCTAATATTGCATGCATACCGTCAGTTCATTGATCACTTGCAGTAACTGAATACTGACAAGACATTACAATAGGAAAATTCAATGGCAAAATGCAATCATTGCATTTGTATTCAAAACAGCATTTGTTTTTGTTAACTTGTACATTTTGAATGTTCAGTTCTCCATGATCGTCCAGATGTTTGTGTTATTGCAAAGAAGGATTAAAATGTTCAATGGAATTTTAACAATTTAGAAGAATCAGATAAATTGGGGTACAATTATGGAGCAGAAAGGATATTTTGAATTTAATTCTTTTTTTTTTCATCATCAAAGTACAAATAAAAGTTTAAAATGTTCAAAAGAAGATAAAAGATGAAAAGATCCTTTATGAAATTCTAATGAGCTTAAGTGAAGACCTAGCTTCCAAAAAACTTCTCTCTGCAACTTTAAGTCACAGCTTAAGACCTATTTGTTTTCCGGTGGCTATTCACATGTGTTGAGCCTCTAATCTTGTTTAGAGTTTGCTCCATGTATATA